CCCCTTAAAACTGTCGCACCGGAAAAGGTTAAATATGGGCAGTACTTAGGAACATTAGAAACATGTGCCAGGGCCCAAACACCCGGACTCGAAAGAAACCTCTCGAACACCGTGACAACGAGACAGGTACGTCGTCGCCAACAGACCGTAAAATCGACAGAGCAAAAGGCGTCACCATTTGGTTACGTCTCACGGGGGGTAGGGAATTTGAGCGACGTCTAAAATTAGGTTTGACTGGCGTACTTCAAGAGCTACTAGGAGGACCCTGGATAGAGAAGGTTAAACAGAGTGTCTCGACTCAATACCTCTTCAGACGCAAATGAACGAACTAGTTTGTCAAGAGATTACCAATTCGATACCTCTACTGCACCAACCGACATTAACACCGAGTGTTGAGGTAGGCGACGGAACGACGGTAGTAGACAGAATGAAGCCGGGTAGTGATGGGTAGATTCCCGTCAGAAATCTGACCCGTACCCGGGCAGAGGCTACGACAATATAGTGGACGTACCGAGGGTTCGAACATTCCCCATGAACCACAGCGATCTTCCGTACCACTGAAGAGGGAAAATAGAAACCCTAAAAGTGGGAGGAAAGTCTATACGCGGTGAAGAAAATCCAGACGACGTCCCCTAAAAGGAAAGAACTGGCCGCGATATAGAAATGGTACATTTCTGGGAAATCCCTCAAAATTACATGAAAGGAAAGAAGTTCAGGAGGTTGTGTGAAGGTCCAGCTGCTTGTCTATGTGTGAAACCCCCGACCGAAGTAGGACTGGGTATCAAGTCTCATCCTAGCATCAAAAGAACGGAGCTTGCTAAGTCCGAACACAAGAAGTCACACTAGTCACCGTCTTTCACGGCATGAAGGACCCAGGTACTTCCATTTATTCGTATGCAGAGGTGTTGGAAGAGTGAAACATGACCTGAACTGAAAAGGTGCGGCCACTGATATCGGTCATTTGTGTAAGAGAGGCCGGGGTCACATAGGTGTACAAAAGGACGCAGTCACTGTGGCTCTGGTGCTAAACTCTACAAGAGGAGGAGACCGAAAGATTTACATCGGTGACAGCGAAGAGTTGGTACGGTCTTAGGACCCACAGAAATCCCTTCGTTTTGAACTGATCCAGTAGAAAATAACGTCAAAGACGGATATTCCACAGGCGACACATTCTGTAGTTTTTGTCTCCGGAAATCGAAAGTCTTTGAGTTAGGACAGAAAGCCAAACAACGAGAAACAACCGTAGACCGTCCTTTAGCTTCACACACCAGCAGATACACCGTCCTCTGTTTGTCCCAAACTCTTCGTACTGTCCTCGAAAAACCCGACTCCCCGACATGAAATTCAAACTCCCGCCCACGCCGGAAGTCTAGAAACCTAAGCAGTGAGAAGCCACTGCGTCGACGACATGCATAAACTGTCGGACGAAGGACGGTTTCTCACTCCAGGCAATCCATAACGAAAACACTAACAGGACATAGTAGTACTGCATACCATGATCATAATATGGACGAGCAATCGTATCACTAACGACAATCGGTAGAGAATAGTATACGAGGCGCATGGTGATGAATAACCCAAGTGATCTACGCAGACATTATACAACCGAGAAGCAGGTACGAAAAAGAGAACTTGGGAGCTTTCGTCGTTGAGAAGGTAGTAAAGAAAGTGAAACATACCCTCGAAACTCCGCTGCTGAGAGGTACCAATCAA